AGAGAGAGAGAGAGAGAGAGGAGAGAGGGAGGAGGAAGAGGGGGAGGGGGTATGTTTATTAATGTGTTTTGATACTGACAATCATTCCCGGGTAATCTTATCTGTACGCTTAGGTTTATCGTTACTAGATACTCATTTTAGTAAACAGTTGACTTTTGACTTTCTTATTTTGTCCTTCCCGCAGCCATGATACAAGACAGAGATGTCCTCCTGCCCAAGAGCCCTAGTGTTGGGGTGAGTACGTGGGTGGTTGGCGGGTGCTCTTGTATGATTTTCTCATTCTTTCCTATCAAACATCTTTCGTCCTTACCTCAACGACCTCCCTCTTTTTGTGTTTGCTGCTCTCTTGTAACGCCTCTAATCTTCGGTGCTTATATGACCTTATTATGCTGTAAGTGCCGTAAAACTTTTAATATAACAAGGGATGAAAGCATTAGCTTACACAGTATTGTCGACTTTGTACTACATGTATGTTTGGCATCGTGGTGAAACCAGGCGCTCGTCAAAATAATGAAATCGAAGAGTCCGTAATGATGTTTCCACCTAGGGCAATTTTCATCAATTGTTTTTTTTTCTTTTTTTACTAGGCTCAACTTCCTTTTATGTCCATTCAAAAACCCGTATTTGCGTAGATTTTTAAAAACTGAAAACGTTGATCAAAGGCACGCAAAATGTTAATTTACAGTTTTTAAGGACACTTAAATTTTGGAAGTCGTCAAACTTTGACGATCATTTTCTCGTTAATTTTATCTCTGATACCAGGCGACCCTGCTTCTTTCAATCGCAAATATTTCGACTTCTATTCAAGATAGATGGGTGTTTTTCAAAATCAAAAGCAAGACAAATTTATAACCCTTAGATCTAAGTTGACATTAAAACATTCCTATAACTCCACATGACCAAGAATTGACGAGAGCCTGATTCCACCGTGCCGTGACTCGTGACATGGTGTTATGTTGTCAATGTTTATTGGTAGTTCATGGAACTTTGTATATTATATTTCAAGTTTTTTTAAAACTACACCACGAATTTTGTGTAATATATGGTAAAGGATTCTTTGGTACACGACAGACTTGTGATTTGTATAATATTGTCAAAAGTTTATTGGTACACCATTGACCTTCAATATGCTATAACCATTTGCCAAGGATTACTAGTACACCATGGACCTGGTATAATATAATCATTGTAAATGTTTATTAGTACACCATGTACCTTGTATTATATTCATTGTCAAGGTTTATTGGTACACTATGGGCCTGGTATATTTTGCCATTGTCAAGGTTTATTGGTACACTATGGGCCTGGTATATTTTGCCATTGTCAAGGTTTATTGGTACACTATGGGCCTGGTATATTTTGCCATTGTCAAGGTTTATTGGTACGCCAAGAACTTTGTATCATGTTGTCAAAGTTTATGGGTGCGCAACGGACTTTGTTAATATTGATGTTAAGAGAAATACTGTTTTCTGAAACCATTAACACGAAATGAACCATAGGGGCCAGATTGCTCTGACACTGTCAGTTAGGACCAATCCGAAAAAGTGTGAAATATATACTACACATCAGCAGAAAGACAGAGTTGCTCATATGGGAATTGAACCCACTTCGTTAGCGAAGCATTAGCAATGTGTTACAAATGCTCCCTAGAAATGATTCTCTGAAATGTCAGACAGCGTGTGTTAGTAAGTTTATTCAGTGTTTAAGGACATTGGCCTACATCACATCACATAAAAGACAATGAGTATTAATTGTATTCAAAAACTGTCTTCGCGTGTAGCTATATAACGGCATGACCTACAGTGTGGTCATGTTGTCTTGTTATCTTCGTTCAGTGAATCATACAACCTGCATTTAATTAACAGACAAAAACGAAACGTCATTCTGAATAAATTTATTACTTTTGTTTACGCCCACGTCGATGGAATGTAGATCATTTAAGAGGCTGGCTTCGACCACGCCTATCAGGGTCAGCCCAGGCTGGGAGGTATACAACGTCCCAAAATACAGAGACCGAGAATCTGGATTAAAATTCTACCGCACGGGAATTGAACTCAGGTCTTCTGCGTGCGACTGCAAAGATCCCAACTGCTACGCCACAGATGCTGGTTTTCATATTTTGTTCAGTTGTACAATGTATGATGAATACATATTATTATTGTACAACCTGCAGTAAATAGATAAGAAATGTCACCCGGATGAACAATTATTATACCTGCTCTACGGTTACACTTAGATCTACCTTTTATCAGTGCTGTAAAAATGTTGTAATGAGGTCGATAACAAGTTATATCCTTAATACCATATCTGCATTTTTTTTTCTTATGGTTACAGTCGTAATGTTCAATTTCCTTAGTCATTTTCTTTCCAGGATTCAGTTTATTAGCTTGGTACTTGTCAGTGTCCTCGATAGAGTAGTTTTATTGTTTCATGTAACAAAAATCCAAGTAGTTGATTGACTTGGGTAAGCTTTTAAAAAACCTATTCTCTCAAAGTACTCAAAGCAACAAAATTACTTTAGGCAATTATGAGATCTGCCTGAAACGCCGCTATCGAATGCTGTGTCGTCCCATTATCAGACGAAGCGATCTGAAGTAGTTATATCAGTAACTGCTGGTGGACAATACGAAACTTATCAGTGCACTGTTACTTGGCGTTTAAGTGAGTGGCCACTGTAACAGGTAGCTGAAGTGACCACTGGCTAAGGCAGGCGTTATGAGCGAATATTCCACCACGGAATGTTTCAGGACTTTCTGAGCTACACCGTCAAAAACTTAGCTTTCGCAATCGAAGCTTCAGAAATGTTGCTGGGTGAAGAGGACGTAAGTAATTTTTTTGTTATATTAATGGAATTTGACTGTCTAAGAATGTTCACAGGTACAGTTGAAAGTGTCTAAGACAGCTACTTATTGTCGACGAGAAAATCTTCTTCTTCTTCTTCTTCTTCTTCTTCTTCTTCTTCTTCTTCTTCTTCTTCTTCTTCTTCTTCTTCTTCTTCTTCTTCTTCTTCTTCTTCGG